TACAGACAGAATCACAATTCTGAACTGTACAGTTATTCAGAGCAAGTCGTAGTTCCTTGCATGTCACTGTTACTTGCTCGTACATTCCAGCATGTTATGCGACCTTATTCCTAGTAATATTCAGCACCCGTCGCCGGAATGCTGATTCCAAACCGTGCGGAGTCGATGGGAACCACCCAATGCACAATTGTTTTACTAGAATTAAACAAGAGCAAAACTGCCTGCATAAAACAACGAGAGCGAACCTACCTGCCTGCAAGTAAGATAAAAAAATATGTTATAACAAAAGGAAAGAAAATAAATTAATAAAATCGAAGAAATAATAGTTTCTCAAATTCGTACCCGGGTTCAACGAAATTGAACGATATTGCTGAGTAATTACTGGAAGGCTGCAGAAAAATGCGTTCCATAATGATAGGCACTTCGGCAACATTCTGCACTTGAGCTTCCAAATACACATCATCCGTCTAAAACACTACACTATGTGAAGTATAATTTTAAAGCAATTTGAAGCAACTAAAAACTGATTGGTTAATTTCATACATGCAAATAAAATTCAACGATGACAAGAACTACAGCGCAGCATCATTTCAGAAAATTCATCTGAAACGAAACATTGTCGAAACAGAATTAATGTTTCAGTAGATTTTATTGCCCACTGCTGCTACAATGGAATGAAAGAAAATTTCACTACAACAGAGTTTCAGGATATAAAATCACACATTGTTCAGAGCTCGCTATACGTTTTAACTGCAGAGCAGCCCTTTGAAGTAGATTTTCAGATTGTGCAAATCCTTCTCAAATGTGCAAATTCCACCAAAACATTTCAAAAAATTTGGCTTTTGGTTTGCACTTAAATTATTCGTCAGATGCTCCGCATTGCGAGCCACTCCTAACGTCTTATTACTTGTTGAAACTATATAATCTCTAGATCAGCAGACTGCATAATAGCTCAAAGCAAAAGTATACTATATGCTATATTATAAGGTTTATACTGCTCTAGGAAACTTAGGAAAATCGTCATTCCTGCCGTTATTCCAGAACTGTATCTTAACAGTAAACATCCAGCATGGTGAAGACCATTTACTATGGTACAATAAAGCGATTCACTACATCTGATTCAGGAGCGTGAGTGTTTAAATCTCATAATTCACAGATGTCTGTCTGCACTCACAATCTAATATATCGACTTTTTATAGATATCAGTGGCCAGCTGCCTATCAGTTTTGAGTGTAGATTAGCATTTTTACTTCATGATTCCACTGTGGCGGCTGCGAGACCACAAAATTAGTGGGCAATTACGTACTACAAGGGCGAATTGTATAATTCGTTCACGTCTATTTTTATGATCTATCTGATTTATCTTATCATTTTAAACATCACTTGATAGTTTCAGGCACTGGTCTCCGTGTATCAGTGCAGGAGATATTGAGACAATAATTTTTCTGTTTGCAGACGACCATGTTTTGTTAGCATCTTCTGAAACTGAACCCCAGCACTCTCTGGAAAAGTTCGCAGCGGAGTGCGACGTGGTGGGTATAAGTGTGAATGTGTTTAAAACAAAACTCCTAGTGCTTTAGCGCTCTCCTCT